CAATACATGGAGAAAAATTAAAACAAAAATACAACAGTCCAATATTTGTGGGGATGCCACCAAGGTTGTTTAAGTACAAAGCAATACAAGCCTACCTCAAGAATCAAGAACAATTCCAAATAAACAGTCTAAACTCACAATTAAAGAAACTAGAAAAAGAAGAACAAACAAAACACAAAGTTAAAAAAGGAGGGACATAATAAAGATCAGAGCAGAAATAAATAATACGGAAAAGAATAAAACAATAGAAAAAATTAGTGAAACTAAGAGCTGGTTCTCTGAGAAAATAAATGAAAGCCAGACTTATCAATAAAAAAGAAGGTACACAAATAAAAAAATCAGAAACAAAGGATAGTCACGACAGATACTACAGAAATACAAAGAATATTACAGACTACTATGAAAAATTATATGCCAATAAATTAGACAACCTAGAAGAAATGGACAACTTCTTAGAAAAATACAACCTTCCAAGACTGACCCAGGAAGAAACAGAAAATCTGAACAGACCAATTACCATCAATGAAATTGAATTAGTAATAAAAAAAATCTCCCCATAAAAATCCAGGACCAGATGGTTTCACAGCTGAATTCTATCAAACATTTAAAGAAGAGCTAATAATACCCATCTTAAATTCCAAAAAGTAGAAGAGGAAGGAATACTTCCAAATTCATTCTCTGAGGCCAGCATTACTGTAATACCAAAGCCAGGCAAAGATGCTACAAAAAAAGAAAATTATAGACTAAAATCCCTGATGAACATAGATGCGGAAATGCACAACACAATATTAGCAAACCAAATTCAAAAAACATCGAAAGGATCATCCATCACAACCAAGTAGGATTTATTCCAGGGATGCAAGGATGGTATAATATTTGTAATTCAGTCAATATCATACACCACATTATCAAAAAGAAGGATAAAAACCATACAATATCTCAATAGAAGCTGAAAAAGCATTTGACAAAATTCAACATTTAATCATGATAAAAACTCAACAAATGGGGAGAGAGTACATACCTCAACATAATAAAGGCCATATATGACAAACCCACAGCTAACATCATACTTAATGGTGAAAAACTGAAAGCTTTTCCTCTAAGATCAGAAACAAGACAAGGATGTTCACTCTCACCACTCTTATTCAACACAGTACTGGAGATCCTAGCCATAGCAATCAGACAACACAAAGAGATACTAGGCATCCAAATTGGTAAGGAAGAAACTAAACTGTCATGGTTCATGGATGACATGATATTATACATAGAAAACCCTAAAGATTCCACCAAAGCTATTATAACTAATAACTTCATTCAGCAAAGTTCCAGGATACAAAATTAATACACAGAAATCTGTCACATTCCTATATACAAAAAACAAACTAACAGAAAGAGAAATCAGGAAAATAATTCCATTTACAACTGCATCAAAAAGACTAAACCTAACCAAGCAGGTGAAAGACCTATACTCTGAAAACTATAAGAGACTCATGAGAGAAATTAAAGACACCAGTAAGTGGAAATATATCCCATGCTCATGGTTAGGGAGAATTAATACTGTCAAAATGACCATCTTGTCCAAAGCAATTTACAGATTCAACACAACCCCTAACAAAATTCCAACAGTATTTTTCAATGAACTAGAACAAATTGTTCTAAAATTCATATGGAAACACAAAAGATCCCAAATAGCCAAAACAATCCTGAGAATGACAAAGCTGGGGGGAATTACACTCCCTGACTTCACGCTCTACTACAAAGCAACAGTAATCAAAACAATTTGGTACTGGCACAAGAACAAACCCATAGATCAGTGGAACAGAATATAGAGTAGAGATATATAAACCCACACATCTATGGTCAATTAATATACAATAAAGGATCCATGAATATACAATGGGGAAAGACAGCCTCTTCAAGAACTGGTTTTGGCAAAACTGGACAGCTACACATAAGAAAATGAAACTGGATTAATGCCTAACTCCATATACAAAAGTAAACTTGAAATGGATCAAAGACCTGAATGTAAGTCATGAAACCATAAAACTCTTGGAAGAAAACATAGGCAAAAATTTCTTGAACATAAATATTAACAGTTTTTTCCTGGACACATCTCTTTGGGCAAGGGAGACAAAAAAAAATGAACAAGTGGGACTACATCAAACTAAAAAGCTTCTGTACACCAGCAAAGGACATCATCAGCAGAACAAAAAGGTAACCTACAGGATGGGAGAATATATTTGTAAACAATTTATCCAATAAGGGGTTAACATCCAAAATACACGAAGAGCTCATATGTGTCAACACCCCTCCAAAAAAAATAACCCAATTTAAAAAAATGGGTGGAGGTCCTGAACAGACATTTTTCCAAAGAAGAAATATAGATGGCCAGCAGGCATATGAAAAGATGCTTCATATCACTGATCATCTGGGAAATGCAAATCAAAACCACAATGAGTTATTTCCTCACACAGGCAGAGTGGCCACTATCCAAAAGACAAGAAATAACAAGTGTTGGTGAGAATGTGGAGAAAAGGGAATCCTCCTACACTGTTGGTGGGAATGTCAATTGGTGCAGCCACTGTGGAAAGCATTATGGAGGTTCCTTGAAAAACTAAAAATAGAAATACCATTTGACCCAGCAATTCCATTTCTAGGTATTTACCCAAAGAAAACAAAATCCCTGATCCAAAAAGATATATGCACCCTTATGTTTATTGCTGCATTATTTACAATAGCCAAGGTATGGAAGCAACCTAAGGGTCCATCAATAGATGAATGGGTAAAGAAGATGTGGTACATATACACAATGGAATATTATTCAGCCATAAAAGGAAAAGAAATCCTGCCATTTGCAATAACATGGATGGAGCTAGAGAGTATTATGCTCAGTGAAATAAGGCAGGTGGAGAAAGACAAATACCATATGATTTTACTTATTTGTGGAGTATAAATACAAAGCAAAACAGAAGGAACGAAAGAGCAGTAGACTTACAGACAACTAAGAAGGGACTGGTGGTTACCATGGGGGAGAGATCAGGGTAGGTGGGTGGGGAGTTTGAGGGTGATAAAGGGGCATAAAATTTCTCAATCATAATGTAGGCTGTTTATGGAGGTGGTAGTAAAGCAAGGAGAATATAACCAGTGATTCTGTAACAGCTTCCTATGTTGACAGATAGTAGCTGTACTAGTGGGGCTGAGAATTTAATAATATGGGTAACTGTTTAACTACTATTCTGTATACTTGAAACTAATATAAGATTGTATATCAATATAAAAAAAACTTAGGAAATGGCTATTTTTGCAGAAGGGAGTAGGAGGGGTTTGCTTGGAGAAGATTGCTTGATGTTCTATTTTTTATCTGAATGTTGGTTATATGGGTGTGATCAGCTTGTGAAAATTCATTGAGCTGTGCAATTAAATATGTACACTCTTCTAAAAAAAAAAGAATATCATTATTTTGGAATCCCTAGCAAAACAAATGGGTATCGGTGATACTCATCAATGGCTGCTAAAACTCATCAATGGCCACTAAAATGGAGGAAGCTGACAACATTTGAATCTTTCTTATTCTCAATATCACAGAAAGAGACAAGCAGACATCCCAGAGATGGGAAATCTAAGAACTATCCATGAATTATTCTTTTTTTTTACTTTTTATTTTTTTAATTTTGGTATCATTAATATATAATTACATAAGCAACATTATAGTTACTAGATTCCCCCCATTTTCAAGTCCCCACCACATACCCCCATTATAGTCACTGTCCATCAGTGTAGTAAGATGCTATAGAATCCCATGAATTATTCTTGCCAAAAAAATAGAACCTAAGTCTAATTAAGCCTCTAGATCAGCACTTTCCAAATAGAAATACATGAGCCACAAATGCAGACCATAAGTATAATTTTAAATTTCTAATAGCTACATTTGAAAAAAATCACATGAAATTAATCTTAATTATATTTTACTTAATCCAATATACACAAAAATATAATTTCAGCATGCAATCAGTATGAAAAAGTATTAACGAGATATTTCACATGCTTCAAAATCGTGTGTATTTTATACTTATAGCGTATCCGAATTCAGACTAGCCACACGTTTCAAGCACTCAATAGCCACATGTGGCTTACTGGCTTCCTTACTGGATAGCACAAATATAGATCTTAACTACTTTATAGAAAATAGATGATAAAGTACATGTTAAACATCAACAGGGGGATACAGTCAGCCTAATCCAGAATGTTGGAAATCTTACAGGACATGTAGCCCAGTTTTCCTCCATAAATACATTGATATTAAAAATGGAGAAGAACTGGTATAGAATAGAGACCTATCAACTAAAACCAACTGGAGGATTTACACCCTGGTTTGAAACAAACTAACTATAAAAATATATCTATGGAATAATTGGAGAAATTATAAAACTTGCTGGGTAATAGATACCATTATATAATTATTTCTTTAGGTATGATAATGGTGCTATGGTTATACTAAAAAATAAAAGTCCTTATCTCTTTGAGATACATAGTGAAATATTGGTAGAAAAGATGACATGATGGCAGGATTTGCTTTAAAATAATCCAACCAGGAGAAGGAAAGTGTTGGTTAGATTTTTCACATGTTGAGCTGGGTGACAAGTATTTGGCAAATCATTATACCATTTGTACTATTTTTTTTTTATGTTTGAAAAATACAATTTTAAAACTTGTTGAGAGAATTTACCTAAGTTAATCATTCAGTAACTGCAATAATACTTCTCTGTTCCTAATTGGCAGGGACTTACCAAAGGAAGAGAAGGCAGGGAGAGAAGGGAAGAGTTGTCTAGAGTTGCCAAGAATTTGACTGGGCAGCTTCCATCTCCAACCCTTAACTCCACGGCTAGATAAGACCAGGCTCTTGCTTTGCTAACTCCATCCCACCCTCACTCGGGCTACAGGTAAAGGGGTGCAAAATCTCTTAAGAAGGACTTTTAGATTAAAGTTTTCAAACAACTTACAGCCAGAAGACTCTGGTTTATTTCTGCACCTTCCATCTTTGTTTGTCTATCTGAGTCTCTGGCATCAGCTGCTCTTTCACTGCCAGCCAAGTCAATAAAAGAGATCCTAGAGAAAAGACACAGTAGGGATGACTTCTTTGGAGCTTTGGTTTATTTTTACATCAATCAGCATTTTCTGATGGCAGGAAGAAATTAACACTGGCCCATCCTCAGGAAAGAAAAGACATTACTGTCAGCTTTTCAAAAATATGGCAAGATTCTGACCTGTCAGCTACTGCTGACATTGTGTACTCAGGCACCTCCTGAGTGAAGTGCCTTTGGCTATAGTCATTTGTGAGAAAGTATGACTGAAATTAATAAAACATTCTTCCCATAAAGCTAAATGGCCACAATGCAAATCACTTAGGTGGCCACTTAGATAATTAAATAGAAACTATTGTGGGCTGCTTTCCAGCCAAAAAAAAAAAAGAAAGAAAGAAAAAGACTCATTACTCAGAGGTGAGATTGACTCATCCATCAGTGTGGCAGAATGTGCTAAGATAGCACTAGCAAAGCAATGAATGTACCCAATTGTCTTATGGCTTCTTTCAAGAAGGATGGATTAATTTTCCTTTTTTTTTTTGGCCTCTGAAATGCATTCCCTCCTATTCCTCTGCTGATACTGTGGTTCACTTTAGAAGCAATCAATGTCCCTTTTAATAACTTAGGGTTGACCAACAATAGGTCATTACTTCATGGTTAATCAACTGATGGCACTTCAGCATAATGATTTATTTCAGGGCTAACAACTTTGCTCTGTATTCCTGAAATAAAGAACTCCACGGTGGCAGGGTGTCCTGTTGTTGATAACACATATTTTAAAGTCACACTAGGGAAAGGCAGACAATGCAATTCCCTGCATAATTCCAGCTCACCTGCCAAATATCCTCTTGGCTGCGTCTTTGATCTGAATTTGGATGATAGCATGGGAGCGGGAGGAGTCTACATTAACTCCAGTGGCCCCAGTGCTGCGCTCCTTGCTGCCTTTCAGGATCACCTGAAAATAAAATCCACAGGGTGATTTCCCCAAGGAGTAAACAAAGCCCTCTGGTTCCTAAGAGTTGGCTGAGAGCAGAAGAGACCAGGTAAATAACTTCATCAGTACATTGCAGTTTTCTCCCCCCACATGAAAAGCTTCCTAAACATTAAATCATACAGTTTTAGTACCCAACAATAATGTGAACAATGTGGACTACTAATCTTGGTGAAGAACATTCAATAGCTCAAGAGCTAATTTGCTCTTGATCTCACACACTTTTTAAAATCTTTGATGGGTTTAGCCTGCTAAAATCCCCAGGGTTTAACTTGGTTCCAAAGCAAGATCCTGTAATACCTATCTATCTTAGTAACTGAGGCAAAGAATGAAAATGTGCATCACAGAGTGACTGATCACATCCACCTGTTCCACCAGGATGCAGTCATAAAAGAGGCCAGGCATGACGTGTGGGAACATGGACGTGATAAGTGACTGCAATTACCATGAGCCCATGATTTCCCTCAAGACCAATGCCCCTCCAAATGGAAGTAAAAACTAACTTGGGTCCCTCAAGCCACAGGGAATGGGGGAAGGGTGGTGAAGCCTCAGGACTGGCCTCTAGCCACATGGTGCCCTGATTTTGGATAGGAGAAGGAGTGTTGATTACTGATAAGCAAATAGATGAAGAACTTTAAAAATATTATTTGATAGAATTATTACAGTGGCCTGATGTGAGGCAAGTACAATTATCATGCCCAGTGTATGCTGAAGAATAACCTCAGAGGTTAAAGAAAAGACATTACTGTCAGCTTTTCAAAAATATGGCAAGATTCTGACCTGTCAGCTACTGCTGACATTGTGTACTCAGGCACCTCCTGAGTGAAGTGCCTTTGGCTATAGTCATTTGTGAGAAAGTATGACTGAAATTAATAAAACATTCTTCCCATAAAGCTAAATGGCCACAATGCAAATCACTTAGGTGGCCACTTAGATAATTAAATAGAAACTATTGTGGGCTGCTTTCCAGCCAAAAAAAAAAAAGAAAGAAAGAAAAAGACTCATTACTCAGAGGTGAGATTGACTCATCCATCAGTGTGGCAGAATGTGCTAAGATAGCACTAGCAAAGCAATGAATGTACCCAATTGTCTTATGGCTTCTTTCAAGAAGGATGGATTAATTTTCCTTTTTTTTTTTGGCCTCTGAAATGCATTCCCTCCTATTCCTCTGCTGATACTGTGGTTCACTTTAGAAGCAATCAATGTCCCTTTTAATAACTTAGGGTTGACCAACAATAGGTCATTACTTCATGGTTAATCAACTGATGGCACTTCAGCATAATGATTTATTTCAGGGCTAACAACTTTGCTCTGTATTCCTGAAATAAAGAACTCCACGGTGGCAGGGTGTCCTGTTGTTGATAACACATATTTTAAAGTCACACTAGGGAAAGGCAGACAATGCAATTCCCTGCATAATTCCAGCTCACCTGCCAAATATCCTCTTGGCTGCGTCTTTGATCTGAATTTGGATGATAGCATGGGAGCGGGAGGAGTCTACATTAACTCCAGTGGCCCCAGTGCTGCGCTCCTTGCTGCCTTTCAGGATCACCTGAAAATAAAATCCACAGGGTGATTTCCCCAAGGAGTAAACAAAGCCCTCTGGTTCCTAAGAGTTGGCTGAGAGCAGAAGAGACCAGGTAAATAACTTCATCAGTACATTGCAGTTTTCTCCCCCCACATGAAAAGCTTCCTAAACATTAAATCATACAGTTTTAGTACCCAACAATAATGTGAACAATGTGGACTACTAATCTTGGTGAAGAACATTCAATAGCTCAAGAGCTAATTTGCTCTTGATCTCACACACTTTTTAAAATCTTTGATGGGTTTAGCCTGCTAAAATCCCCAGGGTTTAACTTGGTTCCAAAGCAAGATCCTGTAATACCTATCTATCTTAGTAACTGAGGCAAAGAATGAAAATGTGCATCACAGAGTGACTGATCACATCCACCTGTTCCACCAGGATGCAGTCATAAAAGAGGCCAGGCATGACGTGTGGGAACATGGACGTGATAAGTGACTGCAATTACCATGAGCCCATGATTTCCCTCAAGACCAATGCCCCTCCAAATGGAAGTAAAAACTAACTTGGGTCCCTCAAGCCACAGGGAATGGGGGAAGGGTGGTGAAGCCTCAGGACTGGCCTCTAGCCACATGGTGCCCTGATTTTGGATAGGAGAAGGAGTGTTGATTACTGATAAGCAAATAGATGAAGAACTTTAAAAATATTATTTGATAGAATTATTACAGTGGCCTGATGTGAGGCAAGTACAATTATCATGCCCAGTGTATGCTGAAGAATAACCTCAGAGGTTTATTTGCTCACAAACAGCTGTTGTGTGAACAAAAATCTACATGCTGTATGACTGACTCCAAAGCCCATGTGGTTTCTACTATACTATGAGCACTTATGATAAGTTCACTTATTTTATAGTAAATTAAGAGTAAGAAAGTCTTTTTTTTCCTCAATCTCTCAGAATTTTAATTTATATCATATTGAACATGGCCATAATTTTTAAACTAAGAGTTGAAAAGTTGACAGAGTCAAATTTCAAGAATAGGCCATAAAATATCTTAACAAGTAGGGGCCAGGTGCTTTTAAAGATTTTAACTAATGATAAGTTCCTTCATGGTCTAAGCAGCAGTTGTATTTCTAAATATTATCTGTATGTGAGATTTAGAATTGTATTTTAGAATCAAATTTAGGATATTTTAAATGCACTCATCTTGGGGAGCAGAAAAAAGATGTCAGTGTGAAAAGTGAGGCAGAAACCTCCTCCCAGAATCTCATAAAACACGAAAATACAACAAATACAACTAACCCTGTAAAGGCAACCAGAAGATTGCAGAAGAGACTGCCTACATCTGGGGAAGAAGAGAAGACCTCACAGAAAAGGATAAAATGGCAAAGCTGCAATCTCGCGGAACCCAAGCCCTCCCCCAACCCCAGCCCACAGGAAGGAGGAAAAGGAACAGAGTAGAGAGGGAGTAGAAGCCCAGGACCACTGAACACCCAGCCCTGGAGATCTGCTTTGGGAGCACAAACCCCTATTACATGGTGCTCAGGAGATTAGTGGGGTTGGAAGGCAAAGACGTCAGAGAGGCTGAGATTCCAGCTGCTTGTGGAGAACAGATTTGCACAACCTGCCCCACTGAGGCAAAAGGCAGGCAGGCAGTTTGAAGGACTTCCCAGCAGCAAGAGGGGCATTAAAGGGGGACAGATTACACAGAGCTCTCTGTTCAGGAGAAAGGGCAGGTGGACAAAACCTTCCCTGCATGCTCAGGTCAGCAGGTTGGGAACTCTCTGGAGCTTCAGATGTTCCAACCACTTGGCTGCTAATGCAGCCCTGAGGCCCCCTGTGGTACACTGCTTGCTTTTCTTCCTCCCAGAATGTGGCGGTCCCACTTAGCCTGCTGGTCCCCTCATTGAGCCAGCCTGCCAGAGGGTGACCCCTCCCACAGCAGCTACAGGGACATAGCACAGAGGCTCCTCCTTGCACCCAAAGCCTACTTGACCCAGCAGTGGAGGCACGTGTTACAGCTGGGAAGGCAGGCAACCCACCCTGCTGAGCTCTTTCCTCCCAACAGGTGCTGGTTCCACTTGCCTTTGACCCTTGCCATTGCTGTAGGCCCACATGGCAGCTTCAGGGAATATTTTCCCTGCACACACAATCAGCTGATGGCCCACACAGCTCACTTTACCAGCAAGACAGAAAGGCACCACACCCACTGCTTGCCAACAGCTGGGGCTCCCGCACAGAAAATTGAGCTTCTGGGCACTAGAGGGTGCTGCCTACACAAAGATATTATTCCATAGGAAACACTAAAAAAAATGAAGTGGCAAAGGAATTTGGTCCAAACAAAATAACAAGAAAAAGTACCAGAAAGAGTGCTTAGTGAAACTGAAATCACTAATCTTCTTGATAAAGATTTCAAAATAAAAGTATAAATGTGTTCAAGGAGTTACAGAAAAATATTTAAGATCTCAGAGAGGACTTCAACAAAGTGACAGAAATTTTTTAAAATACAGTATCTCAAATGAAACACACAATGGAGGGATTTAAAAGCAGATTAGATGAGATAGAGGAGACGGTACAGAACAGGAAAACAAAGAAGCTGAGGCACAGAGAGAAAAAAGGATTTCTAGGAATGGAAGAATAGTAAGAGAGCTGTGTGACCAATCCAAATGGAACAATATTCGCATTATAGGGGTTCTAGAAGAAGAAGAGGGAGACAAAGGGATAGAAAGTCTCTTTGAGGAAATAATTGCTGAAAACTTTCCCAGTCAATTCACAGAAGTGCAGAGCTCTCCCAACACAAGGAACCCTAGGAAGATAACACCAAGACATATAATAATTGAAATGGCAAAGATCAAGGACAAGGAGAGAGTACTGAAAATAGCCAGAGAGAGAAAAAAGATCACTTATAAAGGAAACCCCATCAGACTATCAGGAGACTTCTTAGCAGAAACCTTACAGGCCAGAAGGGAGAGGCATGATATATTTAATGCAATGGAACAGAAGGGTCTCCAACCAAGAATACTCTACCCAGCAAGATTATGATTTAAATTTGAGCAGGGATTAAACAATTTCCAGATAAGCAAAAGTTAAAGGAATTCACCACCAACAAAGCAGCTCTACAGTGTATCTTAAAGGGACTGCTCTCAATGGAAGTGCTCCTAAAGCTAAATAGCTGTCACCAGAGAAAATAAACCCACAGTAAAGGAAGTAGTCCAATTAATTACTAAGCAAAAACAAAATTAAATAAACTACTCAAAAAGTTAGTCAAGGAATACACAGAGTACAGAACATGACAGACACCTAATGTATAAAGAGTGGAGGAAGAAGAAGAAGAAGGGGAGGAAAAAAAAAACTTTAGATTGTGCTTGAAATAGAGTAATAAGTGAGTTAAGATAGACTGTTGTTAGATAGTAAAGAAGCTGCCCTTGAACCTTTGGTAACCACAAATCTAAAGCCTGCAATGGCAATAAGTACATATCTACCGATAATCACCCTCAGTGTAAATGGACTGAATGCACCACATAGAGTTACAGAATGGATAAAAAGACAAGACACAAGACACATTTATATGCTGCCTACAAGAGACCCACTTCAAACCCAAAGACATACACAGACTAAAATGAAGGGATAGAGGAAGATATTTCATGCAAATGAGAGGAAAAAGGAGTAGTAGTACTTATATCAAACAAAATAGATTTCAAAACAAAGACAATAATAAGAGACAAAGAAGGACATTACATAATGATAAAATGGTCAGTCCAACAAGAAAATATAGTCATTATAAATATCTCTGCACCCAATAAAGGAGCACCTACATATGTGAAAAAAATACTAACATAATTAAAAGGGGAAATAGAACGCAATGCATTCATTTAGGGAAACTTCAACACACCACTCACTCCAAAGGATAGATGAAACAGATAGAAAATAAGTAAGGAGACAGAGGCACTGAACAATATATTAGAACAGATGGACCTAACAGACATCTACAGAACACTCCACCCAAAAGCAGCAGGATACACATTCTTCTCAAGTGCACATGGAATATTTTCAAGAATAGACCACATACTAGGCCACAGAAAGAGCCCCAGATAATTCAAAAAGATTGAAATTGTACCAACCAACTTCTCAGATTACAAGGGTATAAAACTAGAAATAAAGTGTCCAAAGAAAACAAAGAGACTCACAAACACATGGAGGCTTAACAATGTGCTCCTAAATAACCAACGGATCAATGGCCAAATTAAAACAAAGATCAAACAATATATGGAGACAAATGAAAACAACTGTGGTATACAGCAAAGGCAGTTCTAAGAGGAAAGTATGTAACAATACAGGCTTACCTCAAGAAGAACAATCCCAAATGAACAGTCTAAACTAGCAATTAATGAAACTAGAAATAGAACAAATGAGGCCCAAAGGCAGTAGAAGGAGGGACATAATAAAGATCAGAGCAGAAATAAATAAAATTGAAAAGAATAAAATAATAGAAACAATCAATGAAACCAGGAGCTGATTCTTTGAGAAAATAAACAAAATAAACCCCTAGCCAGACTTATCAAGAAAAAAAGAGAGTGTACACACATAAAAAGAATCAGAAATAAGAAAGGAAAATCACTATGAATACCATGGAAATACAAAGAATTATGAGAGAATACTATGAAAAATTATATGCCAACAAATTGGATAACCTAGAAGAAATGGACAACATTCTAGAAAAATACAACCTTTTGAGACTGGCCCAGGAAGAAACAGAGAATCTGAACAGACCAATTACCAGCAATGAAATGGAAGTGGTAATCAAAAAATCTACCTAAGAAAAAATATACCTGGACCAGATGGCTTTGGCTGAATTTTATCAAGCATTTAAAGAAGAGCTCATACCCATCCTCCTTAAAGTTTTCCAAAAAGAAGAGGAGGGAATACTTCCAGCATTACTTTAATACCAAAACCAGACAAAGACACCACAAAAAAAAGAAAATTACCCCTGATGAACACAGATGCAAAAATTCTCAACAAAATATTAGCA